TAAAATAGACAATCGCCAGCGTCTAGACAGCCCTTTTTCCTTGAAACCTAATTTTTTTAATGTTGCATCAGTATTTTTTATTTTATCACTTTACTACATGTTATGCATAGTCTAAAACTAGTTTTTAATATTTATTAGATATCCTGAGTTGCTATGGCAGATCGCCGTTAATCAAACCGAAAGCGCTTGGCTACGAATCTCCGCCTTGAAAAGTAGATATGCATATATCCTATCTGATCCGAGAGAGACCTCACCATCCATGATTGTGGCTTCCCCGCTCGAAGAATCTTCGCTCAATAAACTAGATCCAACTCGGAATTTATGCCTTTTGCGTATCTCCAGTAGCATGAACTCGAGATCGGGAAATCTGACTGCACCATTTATCGTGGCCTCTCCAAGTCAGTCGGCTTGCACCTCTGTCGCCATGACATTAGATGCTAGCCTTGTTGCTGTTGGCCACAAGTCTGGTAGCATCGATATAATGGACACACTTACAGTGAAGGTTTGGCTTTAGAATTCTAATAATTATATTTATTTTTCATCTTTTTAAATTAATTTGGCATATTTTTGAGCATTTCGGCTTTTAGCTTAGAAAAGAGTTTTTTGAATTTGCATTTTGCCTTAAGTCCATTTAGACCATTTATAGATTATATAATTATTGACATCCTCATATTAGATACTATAGACTACTACTTTGTCTTTAATGTAATTAGATTCCTGTAACCATTTTATTATTATTACTATCCCTTACTGTCGCTTGCTATTTCATCTATTAATATATTATTTTTGTTGCGCAAGATGTATTTAGAAGTAGACTACAGCTCATTTGCAATCTATTCTCCCACGAATTTTAGTTCATTATTTTATTCACTATTAATAATTTGCCCATTTTGAGTCTAAGTCTGGATTTCGTCGTTTGGACTCTATTTCTCTTACTCAGACGAATCATCACTGGGATTAGAAAAAGAGGCCAAATTGCATCTGCAAACATATACTGTTCTTTCTCTACTTCAATCTTTCAATCAAGCAATGTAATTTTAACTCAAATTTTGCCACCATTCCTCACATTCATTCTATCCCCTAATCCAGTGAATTCCAAACTGTGCGCTGTGGCGCCCCGGAGAGCCGCGGCCTCTTTACAGGGGCGCCGAAAAATATTGTCAAAGCTTCAATTTGAGAAAATGTGCAGTGATTTTTAGGCTCATCCATCACATTAATTATTAAATAGTAATTTAATGTTAATAAAGTAAAAATCAATAATGAAGATATACGAGTTCAATTTATTTTTATCTCTTACTTACGAATAGTCATACTTAAGGTAAGGCGCCGTTGAAAAATTTTAATTGAAAAAGGGCGCTGCGACTAGGAAAAGTTTGGGAACCACTGCCATAATCTATTAATTTCAATAGCCTCCCTTATCTTGTGTTTCGTAATCAGCAAATCTCTGCGAACGAGACCATTCTATCCTATGCTCAATCTCCGTCCTGTGTTCCGCCACTTCTGACCGTTCGACAAGGCTGTATTTTCAAGCATTTTTCTGCTCCGCTAATCCTTGGCGAATCGGCCGACAGGTTTCACCAACATAAGCTTGATCACACGAGCAAATATTCTTATATCATCGGGATCTTGATAGTGCGTCGTATTTATTTTCAACAGAAGACATAACCGAAGAAAATAGAAGAGTTTATTTGAAAACTGGCCGACTGTCCGCCCGCTCTTTCAGTATTCTCCATTTTTATATCATATCGAAGCTCATATCATTTTACGTTATGCTATATGAATTGACATATTTTAAATATTTTACTTCTACTTTTGGCATTATTTAAGCCTATGAACTGTATTTTCCCTCTATTTTTCATTTTTCCCCACTTATTTCAGGTTCTTCAAACCCTTTTCGGCCACGATGATAGTGTTTTATCTCTCTGTTTTCTTCCTGAGCTGACATTTGGGTCAAACAAGGATCCAATTGATAAACAGATGAATTTGGATTCTACCACTTCATTTATGGATCTTATTTGTCCTACATCTGAGCAAAACGCCTGTACAATGATTATTAGACTCGGTTCAACTTCTCAGGATTCCACTGTCTGCGTCTGGGAGCTGCTCTGCCAAACAACCACAAGGCCTGGGTAAGTTAGTTGTGTGCATTACACTTTTATCGACTTGACACTTCGCTAGTTAGTCACCAGTTAAGAGCAAATGTTCGCAATTTACTCATTACCTTTGCTGGATTTTATTCTTTACTTCTAATTATTGATTAATAACTTTTTTTGAGAATTAGTATCCAATGCTATTTCGAAGCACTTATATGTAGGGTTGCATTAGTAATATAAACTTGCATGTACTTTCAGCTGCATTAGTAGTCTTATTGTAATTTCAATGCCTTACCTGTTTTAACCTGTAGTCGGACAATATTCGTCTTAGGAATAAATTTCATTATAATGCATAATGCATTTTAGAGCCTTTTTATTAGTTTAGCTTTTTGCTGGTTAGTTGGCAACTTTAGATCGATTTTTTGGTGATTAAAATCGGAGATAAAATTAAGCTCGATTTCCGGCATCACTACGTTTCAAGGCTAAAAGATGATGTCTTAGGCTTGTTTTCGAGCGCAAGTTGCCTACTCTATTTGAATTTACTGACCAGTATGCATGATGTTTTTAAGACCTAACCTCTATTGATGCGCTGTGTCTAGGGTCTAGAAGAGGAAAACTTTAAATATCAAGCGGATGTAAATTTTAAAATTTCTTTGGAAAGCAGATTAGTCAATTGTTCAGCATCCGCAGACGACCTAAGGGTTGAAGAAGTAAGAACTTAGGAAATTACTTACTGAGCAAGTAGTGAAACCTTATTGGAATTGATGGTTGGGTGTGGTGCAATTTTTAAGAAATTCGGATTTGTTAATTTGCGGAGGAGGTTTTCACAAGCAATTAAGTGAGATGAATAAGATTCAGCTTCAAAAGGATGCAATACTGTTGCTTTTGAATCCTGGATTTGGGCTAGAAGAGCGAAGATGACAATTATTTGTGACAGTTGTACCATCAGCTTTCCTGAATGGCAATTGTTGTGAATTGCTGTTTTCAACTCCATGATTAATTATGTTTTCTATGGACGACATTTTCATAATCATTACGTATATATCAGCCGAAATTAACGATAATTTCAAAATAAAATTTATTCTTTCAACTCACTGTTACAGTTCAAAGCCAAGCTCACCATTCATTTACACCAGTGCAGTTGGGCGCCGAATCCACCTGCTGACTTTGCCATGGATCACAAGAGCGGTCACCACATCAGCTTGGCACACGGATCGTCAAGAGATTGTGGTCGCCGGACATGATGGCCAGGTCGTATTCTGGCCCCTAAAAAACGCTACAGGTCTCGGCCAACCGCATGGTTCGACAATAAGAAGTCTGATTCGCCCACGAATGTGCGTCAGCACTCCCCTGAGACAGCAAATCAACACCATCGCACTGAAGGCTCAGGCTATGCACTCGGCGGGCAAAGGCACCTATTTACCCGAAGATGACCTCTGTGCTGCTGGTTGCTGGGATGGGACTATTGTGTTGCTGCACTGTGCTTCACCAACTATATTTAAGGCGGGTTTTTACTCGGTGCTTATGCACTCCATTAGCATGCCAAGCCACTGTGTAAAAATGCTTTATTCTGATTTATTTTCTCGATCCGCTGTTTGATAATATTTTTTTAAAATCATGTCTTATTCTTCTCTTTTTATTTACCTCTCACTTTATCTTTAATTTTTTCAATTTTTTTGTTTTTAGCCTTTACCTATTCTGCTTTACTTTGTATTTCATGTCTTTTACTGAATTTTCTATACTTCTGGAGTTCACCAGTCAATCATAGCACTCCGTTAAGTCACATTCCTTAGGATTCTCTTCATCCTATCTCACTTTGCCTTCATCCATTATTATTACAATACCTACTCTGTGACCCATTTATTCTTCAGATACTCACTGCACATAGCACGGCAGTCTGCAGTCTGGCCTATCTGGACAAAACCCTGCTGCCGAGCCAGTTACAGGATCATTCATCCTCCCTACTAGCCAGCCTCGACTACAAAGGGTCGCTCTTCCTCTGGTCTCCTGACCACGACCATTCTTTTCTCGGCCAACTTGCTGAGACCTCTGTAAAAGCTTCGGATAACACTTTATCGTCCGCGCTCCCAGCCATTGGACTGAGTGAAGGACGCGGAGCTCTCACAATGGCTCTGGCTGGGGAAAAGTTTCCAGACTTCTACCTGGTGCAATCTGGAGGCTCAGCAGTGGGAACTAGTGGAAAATTAAGCGTGTGGAATGCCGGATCTGGCACTTCCTCAGGTATGTGACTGCTTCTTGCTACATAGATGCTTCCAGTCTTGGTGGGCCTTAGCCAAATAAACTTTACAAAGTATGATTACACGAAAAAAAGAGAGTTATGAAGAATCTCCTGTTGTGAAAGCTTTCATTCTGTATGAAAGTGCACGATGAATTGATTCGTATGTCAACTTCAGCAGAAGACGCCGGCTGATTTGTATTGTATTGCAGCCGTTTGGCTTCCGTTCGTCTTGTGTTGAGCATCGTCACAGCTGGGACTCATTCTTGCAAAATCTTTATGTTTTCTTGACTTAATGTCAACTTGAGGTTTTTGCATAGATGAGTCCCAGCTCAGAAAATGTTCGTCAGGCGAACGAAGACTCACCCCGTCTTCGTCCAAAAGGTTGGAGGAAGTTTCAGTGACTGCTTTAACCTGAACTTGGGATTAAGGTCAAACAGCGCGAATCAGCCAGCGTCTTCTGGTAAGATTTACCCACGAATCCCTTCGTCATATACTTTTGTAGGAAATGAAAGTCTTTAATATAAAGTGTGATTAATATTATGATTGTTTTTGGTCGATTTGATGCAGCAGGTGATGGCTTCGGATTTAACTGCTCTTTTGCCACAAAGCTTTCTTAGTTGACCTGGCCTGAATTATGGATCTGTTTGATTCTGATTAGAAATTCCGGAGGATAAAAATCCTCCGGAGATGTGTAGTGACCACACTACACATCTATCCCAACTAGACTTAATATTTTTCAGGAAGTTACGCCTATTTATGGAAATTATGCTCTTTCTGGCGCATTATATCGCTCGCTAGTTGTCTCGTATTTGGAATGTTGACTTGGAAATATTAATGCCGTTGGTGTACCTCGGCTTTTAATCTCTAACGCTAAGTTGTTTATAGAGCTTCGTGAATTGGCTTCATCGGAAGCCAAAGGATAATCGCCTTGGTGTGGAAGCCATGCCAGGTCTTCGTTGCTCATGTGACAAGTATCCTTACAGCTAGAAACCATGAGTTACGAAAAAAGCAGCAATATTCAATTATAATTCGGGTATTTTATGATTTGTTTGTCTGCCCTACATGCTTGTTGATGAGTTTAGTTGACGTTTTAGGAAGATATAGA